AAAAAAAAAAAAACAAGATAAAAGAAGAAGAAGAAGAAGAACAAAAAGAAAGAAAGAAAGAATGAAAGAAAGAAACGTAGGTTTTGCCCCCAACAAAAATGGATTATATTAACAAAAGCCGTTCACGCTGCACTTGATAGCCCCGGCAGACCGCGTGAGCCTTCCTACGTACGATCCGGGCTTAAACTTGATCAAGTTCCGATGCGTTAACGGGCTCTTCTTGTGCTCGAGTGGCGCTCCCGACTCGGTAAAGAAGGCTCCGTTCGTGAACAAGTCCCCTTCCGACCGCCATTGCCACTTTTTCCACTCCTCGGGCGTCGCGTAATCTCTCTTCGTCACCTGACGAACCGAACCGGATTCATTAAGTTAGTCGAGAAAAACTCGATTCGCAAACTATTATGGACGTATATGTTGGAAAGTTTATAGTATAAATGAAAATAAGATGGCCATAAAATAAAAAAATCGAGGCCGGTGAGAACACATTACACAGTGTCTTTAAAACAGACTTGCTATGCATAACGTACATTTTGTATATATGTATATTTGTTTATTTTTTTTACCTCCTTGTATTGGAAATCATCGGCCTTGAACCTGTTGCCCTGGCTGATGATTGTCGGGTGCGCGCTCCCTCCGATTGCGTACAGCTTCCAGTGCGAGTAGTCGTTGTTCACGACGTGGGCGAATCCCCACCTGACACGTGGCATCCTCTGTATGCACCCGATCCCGAACCTGTTGAACGCGATCGTCACCTGCATGATCGCATCCTTCGCGTCCGTGTCGTGGGCCCCCAACAACATCACCTACACAAACCCACCATCGATTTCGTATATGAAAAATCCTACGCTGACATAATTTATTGACATAATTTGTGACACATGATATGATTTGCTGATTTTTATTAAGTTAATGTGATGTGTAAAGCTATGGTTTTGACAAATATATATTATGTCAAACTTTATGTCAGCCACCATGTTATTGTAGCTAGCATATATTATGTCAAACTTACGTCGTTGTGGTGGTTAAACTTGCAGTTGGAGATTGTGATGGCGGTGGAGCCCATGATGACGTCGATGAGGCCGTCGGCTCCCTTGGATAGCGACACGTGGTCGATCCATACGCGGCTCGACCCGTAGATGTTGATGCCGTCACCGTCGCTCTGTGTTCGGAGTCCCACGTGGCCAACTGAGTCTCGAATCATCCCACCTGGGGCCACCACAATGTCGTGGATCCACACATTGTGTATGATTATGTTGCGCACGAATTGTATCGTGATCCCGGC